GTTTTGGAATGTGTTCCCTAAGGCTCCTGATAGGTTCTACACTTCATGCACTTCATCAGAAGTGACATCTGGAATACCGAAGGAAGAAAGCAGCAATCTTATTTATTTAAGAAATTGCATCTTCTCTTATGTTGATGTGGCTATTAGCTTGCGTGGAATATTTAAACATTTCTAAAACAGATGGTTTCTGAAATTTGGCTGAAAAACTCTTTTTCCGTGATAGTATTCAAAATGTGCACATATGTTGGTCTTATTTCTGACCTGATAGATTTCTAGAATAGGCCAGTGTTATAAACCCATAATCCTATGGCACAATCAGTAGGCAATACAGGTGGTCTCGATTTACAACAGTTCAATTAGTGACCATTCAAAATTACAACGTCACTGAAAAAAGTGACTTATAACCATTTTTCACACTTACGATAGTTGCAGCATCCCCATGGTCACGTGATCAAAATTCAGGTAGTTGGCAACTGACTCATATTAATGACAGTTGCAGTGTCCCAGGGTCATGTGATCCCCTTTTGCAAACTTCTGACAAACAAAATCGATGAGAAAGGCAGGTTCATCTAATAGCCGTGTTAATAATTAAACAACTGCAATGATTCACTTAACAACTGTGGCAAGAAAGGTAATAAAATGGGGCAAAGCTCACTTAACAAATGTCATGTTTAGCAACATAAATGTTGGGCTCAATTATGGTCATAAGTGGAGCTGTACTGATTAAGATTGAGATCTCATATATCTGAATCATGGCGGGTTCTATAACAGAGGTCCCCAACCTTTTGGGCACCAGGGACCGGTTACCTGGAGAGATATTTTTCCACGGACCGGAGGGGGCGTGGCTCTGTGTGCTCCCTGCATCCCGCAGATGGGGCTTTGCTTGTTTGTTTGGACCAGTTGCTGTCATGCCATGGACTGGTATCAGTCCACGGACCAGGGGTTGGGGACCCCTGTTCTATAAGAAAAGGAATTTCATAGCCAGAACCCTATGAATTATTTTACTTGGTGAATAAGAAGGTGGATCTGCTTAAGAGGGTTGGATACTGACCCAGAGAACTGAGAAAAGAGTATTCCTTACCCAACTATTAAAATGTTACTGAAACAGACAAAGAAGGATATCATTGGAGCAGGACTAGGGCAAAATGTCACCTACCATCCTGCAATTTGCTTGGTAATAATGTAGATAGTAATCCCTAGATTAAGAACAAGTTCTATTCCTAACTCTGTATTTAACTCAAATTTGTATTTAAGTTGGAACCCGTATGTACAAATGGGCTATCCATTACTAAAACAGTGGATGGCATTGTCCTTTCTCAAGCTTTCAGGAACCTCCAGGAATACAGGAAAACACACTGCATATTTAGCGGTTCCTAAAAGCATTGCACAGCTTTAGCCTTTCATAGGCTCAAGGAAGGAAAACCCCAATACACAACCTGATCATATCTATTAAGGGTTATCCTTAAATTGGGCATTCTTAACCTGGGGAATGCCTATATTAGAATAAGTGAAATAAAATCAACAGTTCAGAAAATGACAGGTCTAAACAATTTGGCATTTGAAATGATGGGGAGGAACAGACTCAGGCTCAACCCATCCAAGACCGAGTGGCTGTGGTTACCGGCGCCTCGGCATAGTCAGCTGATTCCATCGCTGACTATAGGGGGCGAAACACTGGCTCCCTCAGATCGGGTACGCAACTTGGGTGTCCTCCTGGATTCGCGGCTGACACTGGATGACCAGTTGGCGGCCGTGACCAGGGGG